GAGGGGGCCATTAGGTGAGCTCTGAGTGTGCCTCATCCAACTTTGCGCCTTTCCACGGGACTCAGGCCTTTGCTCCAACCACCCTCAGAGGACATGCTCCTGCCCTGCTGGGTACAGCTCTCTTGCAGACCTGGGTGCTGTCCCTGACCACCATCTGCAAATCTCTCTCCTGAGCCTGAGGGCTCTGCAGCTTACCCACTTGAACTTAAATCCCTGCTCTCCCAGCTGTGAGACTGGGTGCCTCGGTTTCCCCATCACTACAATGGAGATGCTCATAGGACCTCTCTGGGGTATGAGGTAATTGTACTAGGCACAGGAGCTCCAAGCAGCTCTTGGCGCATCAGCAGGTCACTACTACGCCAGTCTGATTGTCACCACCTCCTTCTCAGCTCTCACGCAGTGCTTATCATTTTTTTTTTTTTGAGTTGGAGTCTCACTCCAGCGCCCAGGGTGGAGTGCAGCTCACGGCCACCCCAGCGTCGACCTGCTGGGCTCTGGTGATCCTTCCGCCTCAGCCTTCCAAGTAGCTGGGACTACAGGCCGCGAGCTACCACGCCCGGCTAGTTTTTGATTTATTGTAGAGGCGCGGTCTCGCCAAGTTGCTGGGGCTGATCTCGAACCCTCAAGCTCAGGCAATCCTCTCGCCTCGGCCTCCCAAAATGCTGGGATCACAGGCTGAGTCACCGAGCCCAGCTATTTTATTTCCTTTTGTCCTTAGCTACTACCACCCCCACCGCCCCCCCACCCCCGGCCCTAAGTTCCTGAGTCCCGCACCCGCCCTAGTGCAGGCGCTAAATAACCTCTCCCAAATGTCGTCCTTGTTCCCAGCCCTGCCCTGCCCCCTGGTGGTAATAATGGGCATTACCCCACTGGCTGGCAAGTTGGACCTTTTTCTTTTCTTTTTTTTCCCCCAACTGCGGGTTGCTCAGGCGCTGACTTTGGGACCAGCCAGGGGCTAAAAGACCAGGGCGCCTAGACAAGCAGGGCCCCACAGAATAGTTACCCTGGTTGCTGAGCTCCCCGGCAGGCATGGAGATGATAGCACATGGCAGGAAGAAGAGGGGAGTCCCTTGCACCTGGCCCACCCACAGCAGGCTGCAGTCCTGGAGAGCCTACTCCTTCTGCTCCCAGACTGCAGGGACCCCCAGAAACTGTTGCACCCCCTACTATGTGGCTGGGCCCAGAGCCCTGCTCTGAGCCGCTCTAGGCCCTCCTCTCGGTTCAGCCCCCAGGGTCCCTGTCTGACCACCCTGGGGAGCAGCCACCTGTGTCAGGTCTTGTTCATTTGCTGAAAACATCTTCATCTCCTTGCTTAGCCCCAAGAGCCCCCAGACCTGCCCTTCCCACCTGGGGGTGTCTCATCATGCCCTGTCCTGTGGTGCAGGCAGCAGGAACGATGTGGATCTGGCTGTGAGCAGCCGGTGCCCCCTCCAACCCTTGGGCAAAACGGCCAGGACACACCTGCTCTGGGAATGTCAGCCTCAGGGAAGGTGGGGTGAGGTTCTCCACAGGGTACCCGGCATGCAGGAGCCCTCAGGAAATGACCGTGGCCTGCCACTGAGCCTTGGAAAGCTGAGGTGGGGACCCCTGTGCTGGCCTCGCTGTCAGCCCGAGTGAGGGTGGCCTGAGGCACAGATGCCCCCAGTTGTAGAGGCTTGACACCCAAGCCCTGCTGCTGGGCGGTGACTCTCCTCTGAGCCAGACCTCAAGGATGCCATTGCTGCCTCCTGGGCTCCAGCATTGCCCCGACAGATTGGTGGGACTCCAGCGCCTGGTGCTTCACCCTCAAGCCCAGTGAGCAGAGCCAGTCGTAGGGCTGCCTACCGTGGAGGGGCTGGGACTCTTCCTGAGCCCTAAAGTCCCATCCAAGAAGGACTTTCTTGGGTCTCCCTAGACCTGTGTCATTCGAGGTTGGCATGAATGTGCTGACAGAGTTCAGGCTCTGGGAGATGCCAGGTGGCTTTGGAGCCCCTCCCAGGCTCCCTGACAGCCCCGCAGGGACACTGAGGTGGGGTGGACCAGACCAGCACTCAAATAACCCCACCTTTGAGGATCAGGATGCTGGGCTCAGGGTCCAGACAGCCTGAGTTTGGGGGGGGGTGACTTCAGAACCTGGGCCTGGAGGGGCCACACACTGTCTCCCAGGGGCTGAGGGGCTGAAGGTATGGGAGCTCCTGCGGGCAACCATCAGGCAGTCTCTGGCTGGGCCTGGTAGGGACAGGCCAGCTGCCCAGGCAGCCTGGGGGTGAGCAGAGACCACGTGACTCTCAATGGCATCCAGCAGAGAGGGCCAGGCTGTGAGGGCACCCAGGGCCTGGCGACGCCCAAGAAACCTGGCAGCCCCCTCATAGCCTGGGTCCTGGAGGTCCCTGAGGTCCTGGAGAGGACACTCCTGGGGGCTCAGCTGCTGTGCATGTGGGGTCATTTTCTGTGAGCACCAAGCAGGGACTTACAACACCAACGCTCAGAGTGGGAAGGGATTTGCCCTAGGTCATGGCCTGTGTGAGTTTTCCATGCCGTGTGCAAATGTCCTGTGGTGAATGACCAGAAGTGGATCGGCTGAAAGTACCCGAGCATTGCACAGTGGTGGGGTCAGAAACCCAGCTTTGTGGGGGGCTCTGCTCGAGTCTCCCTCAGGGGCCTCAGCTTCCAGGTGTGCTCTGGGTGACAGGCAGGCTCCATTCTGGCTCAGCCACCTGCAAGCTGGGCAGCCTTGGGCTACCCTGTGCAATCTTGGGCCGAACTCCCCGGTCTCCAGCTTCTTATCCGGAAACTGGAGCTTCTCCCATGCCCATTCTCATCCCAAAGCAAGACCCCACATGTGGGGCTTATGGCCCTGCATCAGTGTGGCAGCAGCCCATCCAGCTGTCACCGTCATCCCTGAATCTCACATGGGCCCAAATGGCTGAGGTGATTCTTGTGACTGTTTATCCGTCTTCCACATTGTCATCAGTCCTCCACTAGTGCGCCAGGTGTCACCCATATCCTGGCATCCCTGCCAGCCACATGCCCTTGCCTGCCTCAGCACCTCCCTGTCCTTGGGTCACCTGAGTGCAGCTGTCAGGGTGGGGCTGTTTCTGTGGGTTTGTTGTGAACATGCTGGATTTCGACGGGAGTCCTGCACACACATGGGCACCTCTGGGTGCCTGCTCCATGCTGGGTACCCCTGTGTGCTGGCTGGATTCGGCCAAACCACACCAGGGAGCCCGAAGAAGGATCTAGAGGCCTCCTGAGTGCCCTCAGGGCTGGAGCTGGTGGAGCTGGGGTCTCAAAGCCTGCTACCCCCACAGTCCCAGGGGTCTCTTCCGCCCAGGCCTTCCACGAGGAGTGCAGGCAGCCTGGGCCTGGGTGGGGCCTGGCTGGCTGTCCCCATCAAGGCGCCCACCGGCTTCCCCGCTGGAGTAGACAAGGTGATTGAGGCAGAAATGACACAGACATGGTTCTGTACAAAACTTGAAATATTTTTACTTTTTTAAAACTTTGATCCAAGTTGCCTTAGACCTCATGGACTCGATACAAGAGTAATATGAATCAGGAAATAAAACACTTTAATAGCCACGATAAACTTTGTTAGAAATGTACATGTTGCCAAAATAATAATAATAAAATTAAAAAAAAGAGAGAGAGAGAGAACAGCTTGATGTCCGGGTTAGATTATATAAATGTTCAACAAGGACAGGGAAAAGGAAGCTTTAAAAACACCGGTTCTGAATCAGCCTCGGGCCCTGGGGACTGCGTCCCTCCAAACAGGACAGGTGGGGGTGGATAAGGCCTCCACCAAGCTGCCTCTCCCCATGGACAGAACATCCAGGTAATGGGTATATAAACAAAGCTCATAAGAAATGTACAAATATAAAAAGCTACAAACATTAATAAATTACAGCATCACAAAACACGGAAACACTTCACAAGGTGCTAGTAAAATAACTGTATCCCCCCAATCCCCTCGTCATACAAGAAGGAAAACAAACAGCTGGTATTAAGGTTGAAGAGTCATCTTCAAATGTGTCTGAAACAGATCTTGTGTGTACTAGTTGCTTCTGTAAAGACAGTATAAGGCTGCACAGACGTCACTTGTTTTTCAGGCAATACCTTAGTTCCTAAAAGAAAAATAATCATCCTCATAAAAGGAAAGAAGGAAAAGGAAGAAGCGTCAGAACCCAACTGTCCATCAGACTCGGCAAAAAACTCGTAGAAATGTTAATGAAGAACTCTATAGAAAGAAAGCCCTAAAGATACTTTTACTCTTATAAAAAAGAAGTTATTTAAAAAGCTATTTACACGCTACATTCTATGAAAAATATGCTTCAGGAAGTACATCTAAAATTAAAATACAGGATTGCCTGAGAAACAAATCCAGCCCCTCTGTGTCGACGGGTGGACACACCATCCCGGCACGACCCACACACGCGATACCCACGCTGACGCGGAAGAGCAGAGAAGTGCCCAGCCTTGCGTCCTCAGGCCGCCCGGCCGCTGTCCCCACCCCGCCAGTCCCGGGGCAGGGTGCCTCGGCTGAGAAGTGCTTCTCGGAGTGTAGTCAGCAGGGCCAGAGGTGCCCCACGTGGCTTAGCCGGGGCCTCCGCACCCCAGATATGGCTGAGCCCTCGTCCCTCTTTGGGGACTCCATAATAATGGTTCCCCACCCACTAACGCACCAACCCAGAGGTCAGTCTTACCGCCCCAAGAGACGCCCTGGGCACTCAAGGAGAGACACCCGCCATCCCACTGTCACCTGCCAACCAGGGCGCCTGGGCGGACCTTCCTCGCCAGCCTAGCGCTCTCGGAATGTGTCTGAGAGCCACGCGGGAAGGAGAAAGGCGCACACATCCCGCCTGCTGCTCCTCTTTCTCTCTGTGTCCTTTGCCTTTTTAAGCCCCTGGAGGCTACCAGCCTGGGGCCAGCTCCAACTTGGGGCGGTGAGTGCTGGCCCACCCCGCCTTCCTCAGAGGAATCGTGCTCTCAAGCAGGGCTGCAGAGGCCCTGCAGTCACACCCACGTGCAGTGTGCCTGAAGGGTGTCCTTAAAGTGGAGTGAATGGTCCTCAGACTGGCAGGGTCGCCATACAGGGACAGGCCACTCTTAGCAACTTGAGAAAGGACGTCCGTGTTCAGAACGAGGGACGGCCACGTGGGCTCGCTCCGCCTGCTCAAGGGACAGACGCTCGTTTGGGGGGAGTGGTGGCCGGGAGGAGGTGAGAGCCCCCCTGGGTGAGGCAGTTGGGCCACCCTCCTGGGGGGCGGATGTTTGCGCGGGGCTCCGGGGGGTCCTGAGCGGAGCAGAAGGATCCTGGCTTTCCAAACTTTAAAGGAGCAGTTTCCCGTTCCGATGAATTTTCAAAATTTTCCCAAGCCTCTGCTTGGCGGTGGCCATGCCCTTTTTTGTACGTTTTCCTAAGGGGCAGGGGAGGGGACACAAGAAAGGAAGGTGAGTGAGATGGCAAGGGGAGTGGTGTGCCAGAATGGGGGCTGCCGTTACAAGGGGACGGCCTGCAGCCCCCTCTAACAAGGAGGACCGGAGGCTGGAGCTCTGGGGCTTGGCATCCTCAGAGGTTCTGTATATAAGGACCATGCCTGAAATTCCAGCACTTTGGGAGGCCAAGGCAGGAGGATCGCTAGAGCCCAGGAGCTTGAGACCAGCCTGGGAAACACGGAAAGACCTTTGTCTCTAATTTTTTTTAAAAAGGTAACAAATTAAAAAAAAAAAAGAGTCCTGTATCGCTGACAAAGCGTTCATCTCCAGAGGGCTGTGTCCACAAGGGGTTCTGGCAGGTGGGGCAGACACAGCTTGGGGATGGCACCATGGAGAAGACATGAGGACTCTTGGGTCCCATGCCTTGGTCATGAGGGCCTCTGTCAGCACCCATGCCACGTGCCCCATCCCTGCAGCTACCGAACCCTCGGCCAGGGTGCAGGCGGAGCATGTATACTGGGCAAAAATGCGCGCGCTCTGTGCCACAGGACGCGCGCACACTAAGACACAACTAACTTGGACCGCAGCATCCTGTCATTCTGGGACCCAGAACCTCCCCTCGAGATGTGCTGTCCTTGACCCTGGGGCCAAGCCTGCGAGTCAGGGGCTGCCTGGAGGGGCAGGGGGCCCGGCAGGCTCCCTCCAGCAGGCACGGTACCTTTGGCAGCGGTGTTGTTGTTCGGGGAGGATGCAGAGGGCCGCCTCTGTGTGAGGAAGACCCCAGGGGCCATGGGCTGGGAGGCGCGGCCAGCTTGGGCCCCTGCGAAGGCCCCGGCCGTGTATTCGTGGTCGGCCAGGCTGCTGCTGTGTGACTCGGGTGGGGGCTCCGGGGAGCTGCCCTCCTGCGAGGCCTGGCTGCTGGCTGTGCTGGTGGAAGCCGGCGTGGTGGAGGCCGGGGTGGTGGAGGCAGGGGTGGTAGAGGCCGGCGTGGTGGAGGTCGAGGTGGTGCCAGCAGAGGCAGAGGCGGAGGGGGAGGCGGTGTTGGGGGCCACCTTCCTCTTGGCACTCTTTTTCTTCCTGCTTTTCTGCTCCTCCTTTGAACACAGCACGCAGGTGTGTCATCCGCAGGGCAGCCTCAGATGCATAGCTACTCGGGCCATCAGAGCAGGGAGCAGCTTGTGCTACCCTGCTGTGGGCACTGGGCACAACAGAACCAGCCCACAGGGGCTCGAAGCCTGCCCTCAGCCACCCTCCGACACGGGGACACAGGAGAGGTGGCACCAGACCTCAGCATAGCTGGCCCAGCCCCTGCTCAGAGGGAGTTGACCCTGTTTAAACCTGCAGGACAGCCACTCCCGCTCCAGGCACCCCACTCTGAGCGGTCACAGGTCTCAGTTCTGGAAGAATATTCACATTGACCCTATTAACTTCCTTGGGCATCCAGCTGGGGGGCAGCCTGGTACGGGGGAGCCTGAGGCCCCGAGACTCTCCTGAGTGGGAGGAGCTGAAGGCAGCCAAGACCGGAGGGAAAGTGCACACAGAGACAGAGTACCCATCTCCCGCAGGTGAGGACAGCCCCAAATGCCGGCACTGCCAGGAGAGAAGGGCTCCCTGGCGGCTGTGGCTAAGAGGTGTGTAGGAGCCTTAAGGGCCTCCCCCTACACCTGAAGTAGCCCAGCTCCAGGAGGAGGGCCCCCCCGACCAGTCTCAGGGCCTAGGCCATCAACCGCCAGCTACCATGGGTCCCGCTCACAGGGAATCTGGGGCCTGGAGGAAGAGGACACTCTGTAATCAAGTGTCCCCAAGCTTGGGACAGCCCCCAGCTCAGGAACTCTATACATGGAGTAGAGAACAGAGGCATCTGGGGGAGCCTGAGCCCAGGTGGAAATAAGGGGGGCCTGGCCATAGTGTGTTCTCCTCCCTGGGCCCCTCCTCACCTGCTGGGACAGCTTGGCTGCAGCGGCGGCCAGCCCGGTCTCAATGGAGGCCACTCGGGTACCCTCACGCACAGGCCTGTCCTGTCTGGGCACTGACGGGCCGACCCTCGCTGTGGAAGAGAAGGGCCCATGCCTCAGCTTCCTCAGGCTACTGGTTTCAGGCCCCCTGCTCCCCATGGTCAGGTGGGTCTCAGCACCAGGCTTCCTGGGTGTAAAGCCACACCACAGCAGGAACAGCTGTCCCTCCCAGGGAAAGATGCCACACAGTGTCTTACAGGGCAAAGCCTGGGAGGGCCAGTGAGACCAGAGAGGGTGGACAAGCTCCCCTACCCCATTGGCTGCACTAGCAGGCACCCCTCGGCCACCAGCTGAGGGTACCACAGCTACACAGGTGACCCTCACAGAGTTGCTCATTGAGGAAAAAATCGGAGGAGGGCTGGCCACAGGCCAAAGGCTTTTGCATGGGCCTGTATAGAAGCATGCCACGGCTCTGGGGGCCTGAGAAGCAAAGAAAACCCTGCAACCATGCTCCCGTGGGGACAAGCCAGGCACAGAGCTCAGGGGCTGGAGGGACAACAGACGAGGTCACAGCTGCCACACAGGTGTCAGGGCTCCAGATCCAGCACTACCTGTCGGGCTGTAGGGAGCGTCATCAGAGCCTTTTCTCTTCTTCGACCGGGACTTAAAGACGGGGTTGTCTTCATCTGACTCCAGCGAGGGGTAGACTAAGGGGAGGCAGAGGGAAAGCAGGGCTGAGCTACTGGGCAGGGCCTTCCTCATAGTGACTGCAGGGCCCATTGTTAGGCCTTCCAGGCGGTTGTGCCATCACCATAATGGAAGCTGCCTGCGATGATGATGCCCCATGCATGGGCACAGGTGGCCCAGAAACTACACAAAGGGCAGGGACTTACCAGACAAAAGGCCTCCTGCACCACCTGGTGCCCGCCAGCCCCCTTCCCCTCAGGTCTGCTGTCCACAGAGCTGTTCACAGAGCCTGAGACCCTCAGACCCACCCTGGAGGCAGCTGCATCAGAGAATGGGGGACTGGGGAGATCAGGGCCCCCCAAGACAAACTCGGCATTTCAGCTCCTGTAGGAGAATCCCTGAGCCTCCAGGAAAGGTTTTGTTTGGTGAAAAGTCTCTGCTGCTAGCAAAGAGGAAAACACCCAGTGTCCACAGAGCTGGGTAGGCTCCAACAGTCCCCCAACCTGCTCATGCATCTTGGTGGGCAGAGGAGCCCTGCAGAGCAGGGAGCTGCCCCAAATCGCTGACTGGAAGGAAGCCTCAGGGCTCCAGTGTGTGGTCCTTCCACCTCCAAGGCCTGAGGAACCCTAGGACCTGAGACTCCTAGGAGGCAAGAACCTCCACACCCAAAGAGCCTAGAAAACAGGAGCTCACTTTGCTGTCAGCCTGTTTGTCAACCCAGGGCAGGCCCCACACAGAGCCCAAATCTGCCCACCAGATGTGGGGCAGGTCAGCCTGGCTCACAGAGGGCCTCCTGGGATAGGAGCCAGGCGAGGGCTACCAAGCTTGGAGAGCTGCCCATCCATGCCGCCGCCCGTCCATGCCACCAGTCCATGCCACACTGCCCTGTCCCAGGCAGGGCCTGTGGGAGACCCAGCCACTCACCATAGTCTGAGTCCTTGAAGCAGGCATCCAGGTGGTCCTGCTCTTCCTCATAGTCATCCAGGTCCACGCTGTTCTTGGCAGCCCTCTTCAGCAGCCGTTTGCCTGCACTCTTGCCGCTGCCGCCATTCTTCCGGGCGCTGTGGGCCGCCAGTGAGCCCCCCTTGGCCTGGCCAGCACCCCACGTGGTCTGCAGGCAGGAATCGGAAGCCTGCAGATTGGCCATGGACAGCATGCCCTGGATGGCTTCCTGTGTGCTGGGCGAGGCAGGCGGCTGACTAGAGACACAGAGAGATGGGCACTCAGCTGCTGCCACACAGAGCATGCTCAGGCTGGCAGAAGGCATGGTAGTGCAGGTGGCCGTGAGCTGGTGGCCTCTGCTTGGAAAAGGGCCGCCGCCCCTCCTCCTGCACTGCTCACCCGCCTGCACTCCAAGGAAAGAGGGAGGTCTGTGGACAAAGATAGGCATGGACAGGAGACACATGGGGATGGCAGATGGAAGGGAAGGCCAGGGTATGGACACTCCTGCCTTAGAGCCAGGAAGACTCGGCTGTCTCCCTTTGGCATGGCAGCAGATCTGGAGAGCCCCTTGAGGTACCCTGTGCTCTCTCCTCATGCAGAACAGTCCCCAGCCTCAGTCTCAGGCATTCCTTCCCCCATCTTCCAGGGCACCTGCCCATCCGTCTCCCTGAGATGTGGCAGTGGTGGTATAACCTTCTTCCTCCCATGGCACACTCTTGCCCCAGGGACCCACCCCTCTCCACAGCTGCACTGAGCCTGCACCTGCAACTACCACCTGCATCAACCTCAAAGAACTCAGACAACTTTCCCATGTCCATCTGCACCTGCATTAACCCCCACAGCTGTACCTAATCTGCATCTACCACCTGTACCTATACCTGCACTCACCTATACCTGTACCTACATCTATGCTTATATCCATTCCCACACACCTGTACCTGCATCTTCACCCACCCCCACCCGCACCTACACCTGCACCCATTCCCACCTGCATCTGCACCCACCCATACCTGCACCTGCACCCACCTGTACCTGCACCAGCATCTGTACCTGTGTCAATCCCCATACCTGCACCAGGGCCCATGCATAACCGCACCTGCACCAACCTCCACATCTGCACCCACCTCCACACCTGCACCCACCTGCATACCTGCATCGGCACCTGGACAGACACAGTTGAATCTCAGCACAGACCACTCACCCCCAGCAGCCTGCACACACACATTCCTAGGCTTTCCCTCAGCTCCCCAAGCCCTGCTGCCCTCAGTTCCCGGAGGTACGCTAGTCTTCAGGTCCCATGTCTCCTCCTAGTTACCCTGGGTCCCCTCCTTCCAGAAGATGCAGCAAAACTTCCAAAATGCCCAGTATATGATCAGCCTGCCTAAGCTGGGGGAGGGGTGAGAGGGGGTGATCAGATGCTGCTGGACAGTAGACCCTCAAGGTCAAGTCCTGGGCTCCTAGGGGACCTCCCTGTCAGACCCTCACACAGTCTTACCATGGCCTCCTCATGGGGCCCTGCCCACACCCCCCCCACCCTGTCCCCCTGCAGCCGGGATCTCTACCCATTTGAACATCAGAGTCACCCAGGCAGCTTAAGAAATGCCAATGCCTAGTCCCTGCCTGAAGATTCTGAGTCAGGGTCCAACCTAGGCTCTGGATGCTCTGTGCAGCCAGGACAGACTCAATGAGGTCAGTGACCTGGGAGTGCAAGCCAGGCGTGGGCCAGCCCGGGGTACCCCCTGCAGTGTCCCTTTCCAGTTCTCTCCCTTGCCTGCTGCTCTATGGCCCAAACCTGCCCAATGCAAGACAGGGCAGCCCACACCAGCTGCTGTATCTGGGCCCTTCCCAGGATGCCTGCAGCCACTTCAGCTGCCCATCCTGTCCCTTGGCCCCACCCCCCTTTCCAAGAAGGACTGGAAGCACTTGTAGGAAGCTCATTCCAACAACGTAGGGTCACAAGCTGTGCGAAAAGAGGGTGGGAGGAGAGTTGGTTGTGTGGCCGCCCCAGATTGAGCACTGTGAGAGTGGCAGTGGGCACACCTAGGTGCTGTGCAGGAGCTGGTGGACTGGGACTCCTCACACACATGTGGGACAAGAAAGGAGAGGCCCAGGCAGTTGTCAGGGGCTGCCCCGGCTCAGAAGGTCTGTGCCTACCCAGCAGCAACAGACCGGGGGCTGAGGCACCAGGACAGCAGCCCCACCAGGAACCAGGACAAGCCCCTACTTAGAAGCAAGAGGGCTCCCTGCTCAGCTGGAACAGGGAAGGAGGAGGAAGTCACCCAGGAGACCCAGATGGAGAGGGTAGCCCTGTGGCCCTGAGGTGGTGAGGTAAGCTGGGACAGAAGCTGTTTGCAAGGGATGGTTCTGAGGCCAGGCCATGGCTCTCTGAGGATCCAGCCAACTCGAAGGGAGGTGATCTCATCACAGCCCTCCTCCAGCACCACCTTCTAGGCCCTGTCTGAGATCCACTTGATGGCGACGCATTTGGGGTTTCACAGGAACTGAGCAGGATCGAGGTTCCACAGCCACAACCATAGGAAAAGCAAGTGTGGTTAGCCTGCCTGCTAGGGCTACTCAGAGGGTGCTGCCTGGGCCACCTGCACTGTCCACACCATGCAGGCCACAGTGCTGCGGGCCAGCACCTGTCCAAGTGCTGTGTCACCCTCACTGATGGCTCAGCAGGAACAGGCCCGCCCAGCACCAGCCCAGGAGCCAGCAGGAGCTAGCAGCCTACCCTGGGGACAGACTGGGGTCCAGGGTCTGCAAGCCATGGGGCCAGGACACCCACCAAGAGGTCCACCCCATGTCATCTGGGCAACCTGAGAGGGTGGGGACCGCACGCCCGGTCAGCCTGTCTGTTGCAGGGTCGCTGGTGAATCAATGAGAAAGCTTAATGAGCCACCATGGAAAATAATACTTTAATCCTCCAATTATCATACCCGAATCCTCTCCTTTCCCCTAGCGGTAAACACTAAGCAAATCATCCACCAGAAATTAACATATTTTCCTCCATTTTCCTCAGCTGTTTTTTCCAAACAGCCCATACTTAAAACAGAGCAAATGGACCATCAAAAACTGACCCAGGCTCCAAATAGGAGACTTTGAGAGAGGAACTGCCTGAGGCAGGCTGGGGGCCGGCGGCCTCTGAGGCCCCAGCAGGCATGTGTGCACATGCTCCAGCGTGTGAGGAACACGCGGTGTCTGCGGAGCCTCCTGGAGGATGGGGGCAGGGCTGGGCAGCTCTGGGTTACTTGTGGACAGAGTATTTGCAACACGCCAACCCCTCCTGGCCCAGGACATGGCGCCTCAGACTTCCCAGCTCATGTTCCTATCTCCATGCCCGCAAGTCCCCAGGTGTCCATGACAAAGCACCTGTCGTGTCCTCATCTTGAGAGGCCTTAGGCAAACTCCATCCCAGGGCCCCCTAGGCCTCTCCATGAACCTCCTGGGGGGCCCAGGGTGTCTAGGGGTCCCCTCCAGGCCCAACGCTCACCACTGAGGTGTCAGATGGTGCACACTCTATCCTGCAGCCTTCAGTGGGGGGAGGAGCTCCCACCCAGGATCTTTCCCACCCACCCACCGCCAGCAACAAGCTCGTCTCTGCAGCAAGACACTCAGGTCTGAACATGGTCAGAAGCCACCTGATGCCAAGCAGAAAATCTGCACCCCCAAGCACTGTGGAAGCCTCCAGTCACACTTCACTCCTGATAAAGGCAGGCACGAATGGCTGACTTCTGACGTTCAATATTACGTGAAAGTAAGATTGTATGTAAAATAAGAACTCGTGAAATCAAACACAGTTAGTTGACTCAGCAAAAGCTCCTTTCAATCAAGCCTCCCATCTGCCTTGCCTGACCCCGCTATCCGTCTAAGGGTAGGCCTGACCTGCACCCTCCACCTGCCACCACACAACCCTCACCCCACCTTCCTTGAGCCAAGTCACTCCTGTGGGGCAAGGGACCAGCGCTCATGCCTGGACATCACAGCCAATGTAGGTCAACCCTCCAGAACACCAAGCATGAGTTCCAGAATCAGGCAGGTGGGAACTGTGGGCCTGCCCCTGCCACTTCCTAGTGGTGGGGCTGTGGGCCAGTTGCCTAAGCTGTCTGAGCCTCAGTTTCCCCATCTGTTCAGTGGGTATCTGCAGCCGTCATGAGGACCAGGATGGCTGCAAGAGCACCACTGCCCATGGCAGCTGAGGTTCTTTACGTGTACCTGGGGGTGCTGCAGAGGACAGTGCAGCCCTGCCTCCAAGTTACCTGAGTGACACATGCAGAAATCCTGGTAAGATTTTCACATGAAAAAACATGGTCTTGGTGCTTAAAAAATAATACTGACACCCCAAGATTCAGAGAGAACTTAACTGAGTACCACGTTAACAGGAATGAGCCCAGCCTATGTCAAATGTGAGCTCAAGTAGGACCAACCCACTTCTCATTTTGGGGGGGTTTTTTTTGAGTTGGAGTCTCACTCTATTGCCCAGACTGGAGTGCAGTGGCCGCTCCCGGCCACCGCAGCCTCGACCTGCTGGGCTCCGGTGATCCTTCCACCTCAGCCTTCCAAGTAGCTGGAGTTACAGGCGCGTGCTACCATGCCCAGCTAATTTTTTGGTTTATTGTAGAGATGAGATCTCACCAAATTGCCCAGGTGGGTCTCGAACCCACGGGCTCAGGCAATCCACTCACCTCA